ATTAGAATGCCCTGCAAATTGGTGTGTGTGTGTGTGTTATGATTAAAACACTATTGAGATGTTAAATATAGTGATTCAAATGAGCAACATTATGTTCAAATGTCCTCTTTCACGTTCTGAATTTTTAAAATAACAAATTACACAATAGAAGGGCAGCATTTTGTACAACAAGATTTCAAGTAGCTTCTCTACTCCCTGCACCTTGTGCAGCCATTTACACTGAGGAAAGTGCATGAAAAATGTTTCCATATCAAATTCACATACTGGTAGTGTGCTGCATGCACTTTTGCATGGTTGTTAAAGATGTGACATAGTATAATTGGAATTTGCCCACTTATGTTAAAACAGCCTTGAGAAAAGTGCGATGGGATCTTTAATGATCACAAGTTATCCGAATCTTAGTTTTGCATCTCACCTAAAAGATGGATAACACCAGAGAATAGAAAAATGCTTAATCTTTTTTATTATGATATTGTGAAAGATGTGGACATAATTTCTTCTTCATTATTTAATTTCTACTGGAAGCTAGTTCTGTTATGCTACTGAGACTGACAAACTCTCTAATAACTCTTATAGGCACTGGAATGATGCATCACCCAAATGTTTGTACGGCCATAGAGTAATAGCTGTTAATGTTGATCAATTATTGCTGTGAATATCTACAGAAAAAGCAATATCTTTACTTAGCCATAAGCTATGTCTTTTGGCAAATATAATAGCCCTAATGATGGTTTTACTCTCATAAGACTTAACTTTAGCATGCAGCAAGCACTACTATTGAACAATAGATGAGACAACCCCCCCCAAAAAAACTCATAAATACATGTTTGCCTGTTAGGGGGAGTCTTGGATAAAAGGCAGGATTCACTGAATGAGCGAGACAGAATAAAAAGAGAGCATTTTAAATTACACCTGGTTGTGGGCACAGATCCCATTGACTTTTATGGGGGAGTAGGTAAAATGCTCCCATATCAAATTCACACACTAATAGGGTATGTCTACACTAGCCCCCTAGTTCGAACTAGGGAGGCTAATGTAGGCATTCGAAGTTGCAAATTAAGCCCAGTATTTAAATATCCCGCGCTTGATTTGCATCTTCCCGGCTGGTAGCCATTTTTGAAATTTACAGGTTCAGACTAACTGCCCGCGTCTACATGTGGCAGGGACCCGGTATTCCGAATTAAAGCCCCTAAATCCAACTACCTGTTAAACCCTTGCAGGATGAATAACAGGTAGTTTGATTTAGGGCTTTAATTTGAAATACCGGGTCCCTGCCACATGTAGACGCGGGCAGTTAGTCTGAACCTGTAAATTTCAAAAATGGCTACCAGCCGGGAAGATGCAAATCAAGCGCGGGATATTTAAATACTGGGCTTAATTTGCAACTTCGAATGCCTACATTAACCTCCCTAGTTTGAACTAGGGGCCTAGTGTAGACATACCCATAGTATTCTGCATACACTTTTGGACAACTGTTACAGACTTGACAAGAGTAATTGCAATTTGTCTGCCCACCTATGTTAAAACCCATAGCCTTGAGAAAAGTGCTATGGGTCCATTACATTTAGATACATGCATCTAGAGGGAGAATGGAGTCATGCAGAATACTAATCATGAGGCATTTTTACCTGAATTTCATTTGCCTTTATGCTGTGCATTCAGTTGTTGGGATCCCATGCGATGAAGTAACACTTTCAGACATTTATTGAAGTTCCTCTTTAAATGTCTCCATTTGCTATTAAAATGTCATCTTCTCTGGCAGCTATAGCTGATTTTACATGCTGTATGACTATTACTGCACTGCACGCTGCTACAGTTAAAGGTCTTCCAGTCCTTCCATTCATTCAAAAGTTCAAAAAATGGATTACAGACTAAATTGCCTGTGTACATTTTCAATTTAAGAAGACTCTTGTGGGTAAAAATGTGAATATAGTTGTTTTTGGACATTTATTATTTGGTGATGAATAAAACATAGATTACTTTTGCTTAAAAACTGTAGAGGGTTAGATGTATCAGGTGATTTGACGGTGCTTCCACACTGTACAGGTGACTAGGATATTTTGTGGAATTTCCAGAGTTAATTTCCATGTTCTTTGTTTGATAGAGCATTAGGGTGGGGTAAAACATAGAGGCTACGTCTACACTGGCCCCTCTTCCGGAAGGGGCATGTAAATTTCACGAGTCGTCGTAGGGAAATCTGCGGGGGATTTAAATATCCCCCGCGGCATTTAAATAAAAATGTCCGCCGCTTTTTTCCGGCTTTTAAAAAAGCCAGAAAAGAGCGTCTAGACTGGCCCCGGTCCTCCGGAAAAAGTGCCCTTTTCCGGAGGCTCTTATTCTTACTTTGAAGTAGGAATAAGAGCCCGGGGCCAGTCTAGACGCTCTTTTCCGGCTTTTTTAAAAGCCGGAAAAAAGCGGCTGACATTTTTATTTAAATGCCGCGGGGGATATTTAAATCCCCCGCAGATTTCCCTACGACGACTCGTGAAATTTACATGCCCCTTCCGGAAGAGGGGCCAGTGTAGACGTAGCCATATAGAGTAGGCTTCAGTTGATTTAAGACAAAAAAAGGCTGGTATTTTACATTCAGTTTAGAAAATGAATTCTAGGTCATTGGAGTGTAGAGTATCCTATTACCGTGATAGAATCCCATTGAGGCAGAAACACCCTAAGAAAGTTCTGATTGAAGGCTGAGTAATTGCTGATAGGTCTCGGATATTGGGGTTACAAATATTTATCCATGTCTCAGAATTGAGAAGATTATTTTTTGGTTAACCCCAAAGTTATGGTGTTAGTTCTGCCAGCCTTACTTGCATTGACTAATAACTAGGGCCGGATGGAGGCATGGGCGAGCCAGGCAGCTGCCCAGGGCGCCAACCGATGAGGGCCCTGCACGACCCAGCGAATGCGCCAGCAGCACTCACCAGGCCAGGCTAGGCAGAGCATGCACCGTGCGCCCCGGGGGCAGGACCCGGGCTGCTTGACAGCGGCCTTGGCTGGCGCACGCATGCGCCGTGCTCCCCGGGGGCGGGCCCGTGCATCCTGGGAGGGGTGGGCTCGCGCCCCACGGGCAGGCCCGTGCATGCGTCGTGCACCCGGGGGTGGTACTGCACGCCCAGGCCCAGGGCGCCAAAAGGGCTCGGGCTGGCCCTGCTAATAACTTGACCTATTATGGAGATTCAGGGGGTAGCTGAGTTAGTCTGTTAAAGAAAGAAAACAGCAAGCAAATAGTCTGGTAGCACTTTATAGACTAACAAAACATGTAGATGGTATCATGAGCTTTCGTGGGCACAGCCCACTTAACTCTGGTCATCTGGAGAAGTGGGCTGTGCCCACGAGAGCTCATGATACCATGTACATGTTTTGTTAGTCTATAAAGTGCTACCAGACCATTGGCTTGCTGGTTTTTTTTAGCCTATTATGTTGTGTCCAACAGGTAAATTAGGGGCTTCGCAGAACTGCTACTCCCAATCTCTCACAGGAGAGTGGCCAGACAGGAAGTGGTTCTACCCCGTAATATATGAGGCAACTTTTCAGTGCCAGTGTTCTCAGGACCTTCAGTAATAGGACTGGTGGAATGTATTTGTGCCTGGAAAGGGAGGTTGGGTGGGATGGGGTTGGATTTAGTTAGAACTCTGAGACAAATTGAGATTTTCTGAGTCGCGGCCTGGTTTCCAGGATGCTCTTGGGGCACTGTAACACTGCCCTTCCCCATACGTAGGGTTTTTGGTAAAACCATGATATGGTGAAATCAATGGGACTTTATACAGTAAGAAATATTTATCTTGCTACTACTATGACATATTTAAAATACTGTTAAAGTTCTTCAGTTCAGTGTAATGTCAACCTGAGGAAATATTTATATTGTTGATGCCTTTGAATGGTGGCAGATTCAGTTTGAAAAGATGCAATATGTCAGTTGCTGAGACGAGTTTGTAAATTCTGGGGGGAAGAGAAAATGTGGTTTAAGTCACCTTTTGGCTTCCCATATTTTTGTCCCTATCAAGGCCTTACCCAACCGAAGTTAGAGCAGCCTGCTGGATGCAGTCTTTCATCCTGGGCTCCTCATCCACTCAGTGTGGGGCTCTCAGACACTTTGGCTTTGTCTACACTATGGCTATTGCCGGAAGAGGCAATGCAAATGAAGCGCTGATTAGCATATTGTCATGCTTCATTTGCATAATCTATTCCGAGCCAGTTTTGCGCCAGGGGTTTTTGCACATAAACAAGCAGTGTGATGTTTCCTTTTTGCGCAAAAACTCCTTCCTAACTGTCAGGTTGGTTAAATATTGGAATAAATTGCCTAGGGAAGTTGTGGACTCTCCATCACTGGAGATATTTAAGAGCAGTTGGATAGACTTCAGGGATGATCTAGAGATGGTGTCTGGTCCTGCCATGAGGGCGGGGGACTGGACTTGATGACCTCTCAAGGTCCCTTTCAGTTCTAGTTTTCTATGATTCTATGATACTGCTCAGCATATTAAGGATAGCAGAAATAGGTCTTCTTCACCTTGCATAGCTATCTATTTGGGATTATTCAGGTTTTTTGTTCATATTGTTTCTATAGTTTGTACATGCTGTTGTAGCGCCATCTCTGGTGTTAGGCTAACTAACACCAGCTGATGAGCTACTTGTAAGCAAAGTTACAACTGGCAATATCTAGTGCAATTATGTCTGCTTTTGCAACATGCTGTATTAAAGAAAAAGGCCCAAAAACAAAACAAGAAGAAACACTCTGCCTTCAGGAGATGCCAGTCAAAGTGGGCTGTGGTAGCATAAAAACAATTTTAAAAGAAACTCTCCAAAACTGAGCTTTAATGGGGTACACATAGTTATAACCGGTTTCACGTAGCCTAACAGTACATATTACTCAGGATCAGTTTTAATGAAAGTTACACTAACATGATTTCACTAACACTTTTTAAATAATATTACTGCAATACTTTCCTGGAACAAATGTCGAGTTGTTTTTTTATTTTTATTTTTTCTCTTCTCCCCAGGATGAAAAGAATCAAGTTTTAACTACCAACATTTGGTTACAAATGGTGAGTTGTGAAATATAAAATCTCTCTTCAAATGCAGCTTTAAATGTATTTTTCATGTTCAGCAAATTTAAAATGCACATTGCCAGTTTCTAATCTTTGTTTTGAGACATATGAGGCAGCTTTGAGTTGATACACTCTATAGAAGAGAGGATTCTGGGTTTAAGGTTTCAGACTACCTGGAGAACGACTTCACATTGTCTGATAGATACTTATGGAATTGTATGAGTTGTACCATGTCTGAAACTCAGCACACTGTAGTTGTTTTAATCACTCTAAACACCAGATAATTAATTGTAAGATACTTTCATCCTAAGGGGTCCAAGGTAGTTTGGAACAAACATGGTATATTTTTACATCATATTTGATAGTAAAAGAGAACATGAAATGTAATGTCACACTATTTACATACATATTTTGCCAGTCTTGTTGATATAGCCAATATTCTGAAACAGTCTAGATGTTCCTTCTAATGGAGTTACTTATTCCTCTGATTCTCCTGAGGATATCCATCTTTCCATGTTTGCTACATTTGCTGCCTGCCTTCTGAAGAAACTGTAAGTGATATCTAAAATACACACTGCAGTGTCAAAAGTAACTAAAAAAGGAGGCCTAATTTGGGTTAAATGTCCATAATTTTGAGACTTAGTTGCATGCAAAATATGGGTAATAGCATGCACTGTCTCCAGTTGCCTAATATTCAGTTATGGGCACATTCATGCATTTTCTTAATGCTTCTCTTGGTTTGAGCATGTATAGTAGGGTGCACTATAATTTCTCATAATTTAGCCCTGTCTTTAACTATGCTGCAAAGACGGAGCAATTGTTGATGCAGAATTTTTAACCCCTGCAGTTACCACTGAATGCCAAATTCTTTACTGGTGTAAATTGGTGGATGTTAAATGATCATAGTGAAGCTATGCTGATTTACGCCTTTGGAGAGTCTAGTTCTTTACATTATGGGGACAGATGGCAAATGGATTTCACTTACATTTTGACAGTTAGAATGTATAGTAGAATTTTAAATGGTAGCACTTTGTGAGTTGTTTTTTTTAAATGTTCATAGATACCTATGCCTGTTTACTTTGATTTGACTTGTAATATTTTCCCACAAGCTTGGCATTAATGTAAGCGATGAACTGACTCATTCCAACTAAAGCCTACTGCAGCAGCTCAATGCAACACAATCTGATATTGAAAGAAAAATATAAACCTGATGTTTACACATAAAAAGTCTTGCTCATATATCCTGGGATTTTGCCTTCCTGTTTTTTGCCATGGAGATACTCAGGAGTAACTCTGAATTTATGCTAGACTTTCACTGGCTCCAGAACTGCTCCCTGTCTTCTGATGCACCAAGCATACCTCATACCTTTGAGAATCTAGCTTCAAATTTAAAAAGTTCAAATAATTTGGGTGCAAAAATGCCTTAGTGCATTTGCTTAAGGAGAATGTTCACAAAAGAACATGTTAGTTTGAAGATTTGACCCAGTTAGTCTACATAACAGGTTTCCAAACTTTCTTACTAGCGGGAACCACATTTTAATGCAGAATTATTTTCTTTTATGGACTATCCTGTGCCCATTTGCCATCATATTATGTCTAAATAGCAACTATAGAAATTGTTTACTTGGAAAGTAAAGATAGGAAAATGTTTAATGTCTAACCAACGATCATTTAATGCATTTTAGTAGCTGGTAATGAGGAGAGCTATCATCATGTAACCAGTCACTTTCTAGACCATCAACCTCTGCTTTGTGGACCATAGTTTGGGAATCTCTGATCAAAATGAAATACAGAACTGATACTACTTACTATTAGAACATCTTAAAAGTAATTCCCTGAAGCTACCAAATACACATTATTTTGAAAGGAATATTGCTGAAAACATGCAAACAATTTTTGTATATTAGTAGATGCATTTAAAAATCCAGATGCACAGAGATCCTCAACATTGCTACACACTGTAAGAAGGAGAGGCATCCCCCAAATCATTTTTTTTTTTCATAAGGATCTAGAAGTTGACAAGTTAAAAATGTCAAAATAATTAAAAGATTTCAGCCAGAATGCAGTTATTATGAATCTGGCATAAGTAATTTAATTGTTTAATTAAAAAGAATTGTTAGTGGAATAAGCAGGGTGGAAGGAAAAAAACCAAGGCTACTCAGATATCCCGATTTAAGCCTACATCAAGCGACTGACATCTGTGGAATTAAAGGAGCAAACAACATACCGCTCAGGTCATTGTCAGGCTGTTGTAAACAAATTAGGCAAAGTATGAAAAGCACATCTTTAAGCAAACTCTATTGTGATGATTATGGAAGAGGCAAAAGTGTCCAGTATGTGGTCTCACAGGGACATCATGGAGCAACTCTAGTCACTTTCAAACTGTGCTACTCTAGTAACACAAATTTGTTAAGGAAAATGTTTAAAAAATTAAATAAAACTTGATTGTGAGTAATGGGAGTCTCAGTAGAGCAATATAATGATGAGGATGGTAAACCCAAGTAGAATCTGAACAGCATAAATAATAGCAGAAGAACATAAGAACAGCCATACTGGATCAGACCAAAAGTCCATCTAGCTCAGTATCCTTTCTGCTGACAGTGGCCAATGCCAGATGCCCCAGAGAGAGTGAACACAATAGGCAAACATCACATGATCCCTCTTCTATTACCCATTTACAGGCAAACAAAGGTTAAGGACAACATTCCTACTCACCCTGGTTATTGGCCATTGTTGGACCTAACCTTAATTAGGCAAAACAGAGGCAATACATATGCATGCAATGGATAGGGCATGATTACAGTATGATATATAATCATCATACATTTTACTAGCACTTTTTTGAACCCTGTTAAAGTCCTAGTTTTTAACCACATCCTCTGACAAGGAGTTCCACAGGTTGACTGTGCACTGCATGAAGAAAAATTTCCTTTTGTTTGTTTAAAACCTGGAGCAAGGCAACAAAGGGTAAGAAGCAACTAGTCAAGCGACTAGTTGGCTATCCAATAAGCTTTTGCTTATCGGATATTCAACTAGTCACTTACCCCTAGGTGAGGGACCTTGTCAAAGGCTTTCTGGAAATTAAGTATCCTATATCCACTGGATCTCCCTTGTCCACATGTTTGTTTTCCCCTTCAAAGAACTCTGGTAGATTAGTAAGGCATGATTTCCGTTTACAGAAACCATGTTGACTCTTCCCCAACAAACTATGTTCATCTACGTGTCTGATAATTTTATTCTTTACTATAGTTTCAACTAATTTGCCCGGTACTGATGTTAGACTTACATGTCTGTAATTGCCAGGATCGCTTCTAGATCCCTTTTTAAATATTGGTGTCACATTAGTTATCTTCCAGTCATTAGGTATAGAAGCTGATTTAAAGGATAGGTTACAAACCACAGTTAATAGTTCCACAATTTCCCATTTGAGTTCTTTTAGAATGCTTGGGAGAATGCCATTTGGTCCTGGTGACTTGTTACTGTTAAGTTTATGAATTTGTTCCAAAACCTTCTCTATTGACAACTCAATCTGGGACAATTCCTTAAATTTGTAACCTAAAAAGAATGGCTCAGGTTTGAGGATCTCCCTAACATCCTCAGCCTTGAAGACTGAAGCAAATAATTAATTTAGCTTCTCCTCAATGCCTTTATCATCTTTGGATTTGTCTGTATGCTAAAGACTTAAGCAAAGCAATTGGATATGAATGCTACCCTATGAGAATGATTGCTAATGTTTCCGGAATGCTCAAGGTATATATGTTTTCTGTTCTAAATGCCTGTCAAAAATTTTGGCAAGTGCCTCTGGATTATTAAAGTTCCATATTGTGCACATTAAATGTCCTGTTTAGAAATTTTATGTTTAAAGGCCTGCCATTTGGCTTTGGAGCAGTCCTGCAAATATCGCAGTATTATATGGAAGATATTTGATGGCTAATTTGGATGGAAGTTAATGCAGGGGAACGGGAGATGCATAGCATAATGACAGGCTATGTAAAATGTCACTGATATTGTGAGAGAAATCAAAACTAGTTAAAGCAAAATGCCAATATGTGCTAAAAAGAAAATTGTCCACATGTTCTGTGAACACAATGTTCAACCTTATCAGAAAAAGTAGAGGTGGAAATCCTACAAGGGAAAGATGCACTTCAAAGATTCATGGTATGATGATTATATATCATACTATAATCATTCCCTATCCATTGCATGCATGTGTATTGCCTCTGCTTCCTGACAAAAATATCTGCTGATATGGGGTGAAATGTGGCTGTCAGGGTAACAATAAATCATGTAAGTGGCATTTGAAGTATTTTGATTTAATCAACTTGTAAAGCTCTCAGAGTTTCCAATTTCATGTGGCTTTGGAGCAGTGCTATTGGCAACAGGCAACCCATAAGCCAGTGGTTTTTTTTAACCTTTTTAAGCACAAGATCACTTTTTCAATGTAAGTGCAATGTAAGATCTACCTCAAACCCAATACCCTTGCCCCACTTATTTCCCATCCCTTGTTTGAGGCCCTGCTCCTGCTGCCTCTATTCTCCAAGGCCTCACCCTGCTCACCTCATCCCCCTTTCTCTCCTGTTCTCACTCACTTTCACCAGTCTGGGGTAGGGGTTGGAGTGCAGGCTCTGGTCTTGGGCCAAGGAGTTTGGAGTGTGGGAGGGGCTCCAGGCTTAGCCCAGGGTGGAGGCTTGGGGTCCAGGAGGGGTTTCAGGGTACAAGCTCTGGGAAGGAGTTTGGGTGGAGGGGGACTCATGTCTGGGACAGAAGGTTGGGGACAGGAGGACGTCCAGGAAGCAGGCTTTGGCTGGGCACCGTTTAACTGAGAGGCTTCCGGGTGGTGGAGCAGTGGGGTTAAGGCAGGCTTACTCCTCCCCTGGCACTGCACCACTCCTTAAAGCAGTTGGCATGTACAGCAATGGCTCCATGGCACCATGTGCTGTCCCTCATCTACAGGTACTGAAGCACTGAGCCCACAGCTTCTACTAGCAATGGTTCCCCATTATTGATCAAGGGGAGCTGCAGAAGCCATGTCTGCAGGCAAAGACAGCATGTGGAAGCCCCCTGCTCTGCCTTTCTTAGGGGCTAAGGGACATGCCAGCCACTTCCAGGAGCAGCAGTTACCACAGGGTAATTACTCCAGCCATGACAGGTTCAGCATTTTAGAACTCACTACTCAAAGAATTAAATTTAAATGTAAGAGAGAAATGAAAATTGTGAAAATCACAGGCCAGTCAAAAGCCAAAAATAACACACTTTGCAAGCAGTAAAAGATGTAACAACACCCCTGCCCCATTTACATGTTGGGTCGGGAGATGAGAATGAAGGATAGTGTGTGTTTGTCACTTTCACACAGTGTGTCTGTCATTCTCACAGAGATTTGCATTGCCAACCTCTCTCCATCCCCATCTTTCTGTGTGAAGATAAGGTACAGGAGTGGAGGGAGGAGGGATACCCTAACAACAGCACACTCCTTCTCCTTCCCACATTCTGCACAGCAATCAAGAGGCTCCCGGGGAGGCAGCTGTAAGGTGAAGGGGCAGGAGCAGCACGACAGTGGATGGAGGGCAACTGAAGTGCCAGCGCTTGATAGTTTCCTGGCCAAATCAGTCAGGATTACCTGTCAGAGGGTATGTCTACACTTGCACCCTCTTTCAAGAGAGGGATGCAAATGAAGACATTCGAAATTGCAAATGAAGACGGGATTTAAATATCCCATGCTTTATTTGCATATTTGCGTTATGGCACTATTTCGAAATAGCACTATTTCGAAATAACAGACACTGTTAAGATGCGGTTATTTCGAGAGAAAACCCTTCTCTCGAAATAACCCTTATTCCTCATACAATGAGGTTTACCAGTTATTTCGAGAGAAGGATTTTCTCTCGAATTAACCACGTCTTAACAGTGTCTGTTATTTTGAAATAGCGCCATAACACGAATATGCAAATGAAGCACAGGACATTTAAATTCCAGCTTCATTTGCATCCCTCTCTTGAAAGAGGGTGCAAGTGTAGACATACCCAGAGACTCCAAGATCTACCAACAGATCCCAATCTACTGGTTGGTATCCACTGCCATAAGCCATTGCAGGCCTTCTTGTAGTAATTGTCTAGTGATAACCAGGAAGAGAACTGCTCTTGAGGCACCAATTCAGAAATGCCTCTGAGCATGTGCTTATGTGGTTTGCTGACAAAGGGCCACAAGTACTTGCTAAGCCTGAAAGGTCTTCTGAACTGGATGATATTGAAGGAGACTTTGAAATTACTGTGATACAAGTCATAATTTTGGCTCTAAAAGCATACAACAGGCTAAAGCTTCACCCCCTGTCAAATATTGCTTTGCAGCAGCTGGAGGACACAGTTATACAAGAATGGGCAGAAGAGAAGTCAGTACTTCTTACTGGAGCTAGACCTTATTGGGTACGTCTAGACTGGCATGATTTTCCGCAAATGCTTTTAACGGAAAAGTTTTCCATTAAAAGCATTTGCGGAAAAGAGCGCCTAGATGGGCACGGACGCTTTTCCGCAAAAGCACTTTTTGCGGTAAAGCGTCCGTGCCAATCTAGACGCGCTTTTGCACAAAAAAGCCCCAATCGCCATTTTAGCCATTGGGGCTTTTTTGCACAAAACAGAACTGTGCTGTCTACACTGGCCCTCTTGCGCAAATTATTTGTGCAGGAAGGCTTTTGCCCGAACGGGAGCAGCATAGTATTTCTGCAAGAAGCACTGATTTCTTACAGTAGGAAGTCAGTGTTCTTGAGGAAATTCAAGCGGCCAGTGTAGACAGCTGGCAAGTTTTTCTGCAAAAGCAGCTGATTTTGCGGAAAAACTTGCCAGTCTAGACACAGTGATTGGGTTTATCATGATGAGCTAAGTGTCAGAGATCTTTACACAGGAAATGCTAGAAATGCTCCATAGCGAACATACTCATTTAAAACCCAAGGAAAGCCAGATCCTCATTCTAGATCTTTGTCTACAGCTGAGGA